AATGGAACAATAAGTCAAGGACTGGTTTGCATTGATATATGTGTTTGTGTTAATGTCATTATAAGTAAACTGGAATCAAGCGAAACTTGAAGGAAGTGGTGGCAAGCTCGCAATGAAGGGGCGGACGGTGCTTGTGACTTGCCGCTGACCATGTCTTTGACTCCTTCCACATCTCGCGAATCATCCACCTCTAACGTATCAGTAAACAAGCAAATTATTTTGGAAGAAGACGAATATACAGAAGGCCTCTCTCGCATCATTGCCCGCGACTTTTTCCCCACTCTAAACCACCTCACAGCTGCGAACGAATATCTATCCGCTCTTGAATCACAAGATCCGAGCTTAATCAACAATTCTATTAGAACCTTGCAAGATCTAGGGCCGACACCGCTCGTGCGACATGGTCAGACGCAAACTCCACTACGTACACCTGCTCGCAACGGTTCCCAAAGTGGCCCTAACAAGCGACGAAGGTACGAAGAAGACCTGAGCTTGGATGAATATCAAGCTCGATATACGAGTGAAGATAACGCCAGTTTTACGGAAATCCTAGATGAGGAAAACAAGAAACGAAGAGAAAGGTTCAAGTGGGCATTCGAAGCGCAGAGAAAAGTCATGGACGGAAGGCTAATCGAAGATACGAAAAGAGAAAGAATGCTGCTTGAAGGAACTGGCGAAAATGATGCACGAGGTATAGGAGTCCGGCCTGGCGTTCGTGGTCGCATCACAGTTGAGAAACCAAACGTCCTATTGATTACACAAGGCCCCAAAGACGAGGCTGAAACAGAGGAAGTCTTACAAGAAAAGGAAGACGTTATCCTCGAGGAGTCGTCGGAGACGAAGGATGTGATGGGTCCCACTCAAGACGACCGAACACCATACGTCTCGGCCTGGAAGTTCAAGGTAGGAATAACAATCTAATTAAACCTGGCTCAGTACCGCTCACATACTTTTCCATACACAGGCACGAAATAATCTAATGTTTGCACCAGATGCAGATGAATCACCCTACCATCCACCCGCAAATCCTTCTATACCAAAAGCCGTCACTGAAGGAATCCGCGAACCAAAATCCATAACGCACTCAGCAACACGCCTCCCATCACCTCCACCTGAAACGTCTCCAGAACAAATAGTACCACCCAGCCCAACGCGTAGCCGCATTGATGCAGCTATTTCGGGTGTCCGTTATGTACCTTCTGGTGAAAGAGAAGAGGGGGCAGCTGGCCCGAACGGATATAATTATGTCCCAACGATACCGTCCCCTTCTCCCGATCAACTAGGTCCAGCTGCATTGAAGGAACTCATGACCATGGGAACCTTGTTATCAACGCCTCGTCTACTATCCTCTGCGCGGGATGGTGACCAAGCCCCGATGGATGATATCCAAGCCACACCATTTCGTATCAACGCACCCTCTCGCCGCGAACAAACTGGCCATCGACTCTCGATGAAAGCTAGCAAATCTATTAGAGAAAAAGCTGCACTACTTGCCGGTGGGAGCAAGAAAGGCGACATGGCCCCTCCCTCTGTTGGGATGACTCCAAAGAGGACTGCCGCCAATCTGACACCGGCTGCACGAAACTTATTGGCGCGTAGTACCGGGCAGAAGGAGACTTCTACACCACTCAGACCGAGTATCGGTGGAAGTATCTTTGATGGGAACTCGAAAGGTTCGAAGGGTGTTGAGAGAGATCTCAAAAATGTGAAATGGACACCAAGCCCAATGACAAGGCGATGACTACCGACCAAGATACGGGGGTCACTATTTTTATTCATTGCTTTTTGTACAGATGAATGGACATTGTAGCTTTCCTACCCAAGTAACATACACAATCACACCTATTTCTTCTCGAGTTGACCGTGCTCCGGAATTCCCGCATTAGGTCGTGATTAAATGGTATAACTAGAGATCAAGGATGAGTAACAAATTGGGGTCAAGACAAATGTTCGTACCGGAAGAGCGGGCTCGCGTCTCCCATCTCACGGAAGTGATGCGCTTGAG